GGAGGTATCAGGAGTCAACTTCTACCATTGGGCCGGGGAGCTAGCTGAGTGGCATAAGTGCCTGCCTGGGCACAGGTCCTGAGTTTGATCCCCAGTACCACACACACACACATACACACACACACACACACACACACACACCATTTTACTGTGCTTGACTGTGCACTATTAATGCCATCAATTCTTTTGTTTTGTGGGCAGGGTGATAAAAATGTGGGTCACTAGTGTAGAAGGACCCTGAATCTGCCCCAGTCCAGCCTAGCACCTGTCCTTCTCTTTGCTCAGGTCGCAGACATGGCTTTGGTCAACTGATGTTTGCAGATGGTGGAACCTACCTGGGTCATTTTGAGAATGGACTTTTTAATGGCTTTGGGGTACTGACCTTCTCAGATGGCTCAAGGTGAGTATTAGGTTATTCCTTTCTCCACCTTTAAAGTAGGGAGGCTCTGATATAACAATAGGACGTTGGTGACTGCTCAACCCTGAGCTTCTCTGTGGCCTTGCAGAAAACAGCAGTAAATCAGTTAATTTTTTTTTGCAGAAGACGGCATACGAGATGTTGCGGCGTGACTGGAGTTCAGACGTGTGCTCTTCCTATCATGTCATACTAGGTAAAAGTGATGAGAGTAATTACATAATAGTTCCTATTATATTTTATATTGATTTTTTTTTGCGGAACCCCGGGATTGAACTCAGGCCCTTGCGCTTGCCAGGGAAGTGCTTATTCCACTGAGCCATCTCCCCGGCCCCTGATCAGTTACTTTTTAAATAGATGTGAAATTTGAAATGTTGAGCAGGTACATGACCTTCCACCAGCCTGCATTTGCTGAAGTTCTTTCCTTAAGATGAGGGCCTCATAGCTACTGGTTGGGAATGGAGGGGATAGGGTGGGGAGCTCAGAGCTAAGCAGAAAGCTTTGCCTCATGGCGTTATTAACTAACGCATGTTGGCAACGGCTTGACTCAGTTAACAAGGTCAGCTAACTTGCCAGGAGAGGCTAACGTCTTGGTGTTTCTGCAGGTATGAGGGGGAGTTTGCCCAAGGCAAATTTAATGGCGTTGGAGTCTTCATTCGACACGACAATATGACCTTTGAGGGGGAATTTAAAAATGGCAGAGTAGATGGTTTTGGTAAGTTGCAGCCTGGCAGGGTGGGTGACAGGTGAACATAATATGGGTAGAAATATGTCTTCTAGTTATAGTTCGCCCGTAGACATCCGCCAGTCTGTAGTGATCATGCCCTAATCCACCGAACTCACGAAGTACTCTGGAGCAAAGTGGTGGGGTTTTCTTCAGCCTCTACACATGCAGTTCATCTCTGACACATTAATTCCACTGTCATATTTTCTGTGTCTTCCTGAAAGGCCTGCTCACATTCCCTGATGGTTCTCATGGAATACCCCGTAACGAAGGTCTCTTCGAGAACAACAAGCTGCTGCGGCGTGAGAAGTGCTCTGCGGTGGTGCAGCGGGCCCAGAGCGCATCCAAGTCGGCCAGAAATCTCACTGCCTGACAGGGCGCTGGGCTCAGCTGGAAAAGTGCCAGGTCAGTCCAGTGTTCCGTTGTCCGCTGGACCTGAACAGATAAACCTGAGCTGAGGTGAAATGAGACGAGAGTA